ACATAGACAGTGTGAAAGAAAAATAAAAAGAAGTTAATAACTAGATGAAAAGTAAAGATAAAAACATTAAAAACATTGAAGACATCAAAACCCTAATTTAGCCATAAGCAACTCTAAACAGGTGGGTTTTAAGTTGAGATTTAAAGGCTCTCAGTGTTTCAGCTGTTTTACAGTTTTCTGGAAGTTTGTTCCAAATTTGTGGTGCGTAGAAGCTGAATGCTGCTTCTCCTCGTTTGGTTCTGGTTCTGGGGATGCAGAGCAGAACCAGAACCAGAAGATCTGAGGGGTCTAGATGGTTGGTACAGCAATAACAGATCTTTAATGTATTGTGGTGCTAAACCGTTCAGTGATTTATAAACTAACAACAGTATTTTAAAGTCTATTCTTTGAGCTACAGGAAGCCACTGTAGGGACTTTAAAACTGGTGTTATGTCTCCATCTTCCTGGTTTTAGTGAGAACACGAGCAGCAGCTTCTGGATCAGCTGCAGCTGTTTGATTGATTTATTAGTCAGACCTGTGAAGACGCTGTTGTAGTAATCAATGCGGCTAAAGATAAACGCATGGATGAGTTTCTCTAGATCTCGCTGAGAAGTTAGTCCTCTAATCCTGGAGATGTTCTTCAGGTGATAGAAGGCCGACTTTGTGACCGTCTTAATGTGGCTCTGAAGGTTCAGGTCAGAGGTCATCACTACTCCCAGGTTTCGGGCTGATCGCTGGTTTTCAGTTGTAATAACTGAAGCTGTGCATTGATTCTAGTTCGCTCCTCTTTAGGTCCAAAGATAATAACTTCAGTTTTGTTTCTGTTCAGCTGGAGAAAGTTTTGGCACATCCACTCATTTATCTGTTCTAAGCATCTATTCAGTGATTGGATGGGGTCAAAGGTCACCTGGTGACATCGTGATGTAGAGCTGTGTATCATCCGCGTATGATATGAATTTATCTTTAAGACAAACATAGCTTTAGGAGCTATAAACAAACATAGCTGTGTTTCCATTCACCTTAAGGTTTCACAAATTGGAGTGATTAAAATAAATTAGTTTAATGGAGACATGGCAATTAAGAAAAGCAAACACGTTTCTTGATTAAAAAAAACAAAACAAACATTTTTGCTCCAGGATGAGGTGGTTTTTCAGCCATATCGAAATTTGTGTATTTTGCAAAACTGTCAAAATACAGTTTTGACATCAAACATCTCTAGCCAGTTAGTACACAACTGGATTGACACGTTTGGTCAGTGCAGCTGGCTCCACCAGAGGTCTCCAGGACAGCACAGTTTATCTCCTGTTTTAACTGGACACTTGTACATTTTTTTGAAACTGGCTCCATTTTAATGTATCCTAACATTAAAATACACAAACACACGCGCACAGAGAGAGTGAATAAAACCTTTAAAAAAAAACAACAACCTGAAATTAAACTCCTCTTGGCTCCCTGGCCCCCTCTTCTGCCTCCTGGGGGTTGCTGTAGATATTATGTCTGACTTGCCAGAGAATTCTGATCCTTGTCAATGGTGTCTGGATTTGAATCCGTCTTTTCTTTATTTTCTTTAAATATCTGTTAACATCTGTTGTGTTGTCTGTTAAATAAACTGAATAAACCTATTAATAGTAAAGCTTAAAAAGCTTCACTAGTCAAACACCAGCAGACAACAGCACTGTTAAAAAATGAAATTATTCTCACTTTTTATAATTGTCATTCAACAAGAATGACAGTCATTCTTGTTGAACAACATTGTCATTTAGCAAGAATGACTATATTGACACTACAACAGTCATTCTTGTTGACTTTGTTGAGTCAACGCAGAATAAAGACACAGAGGCCAAAGGAATCAGCATTTGTCATTTCTGGGTTTGTTTAAAAAAGGTTTATTTCCCATTATAGTCAGTGTATAAAGTCACTAAAGCATGAGGTTCAATGACATTTACACGCGTCTAAATGATCTCTTTGAAAACAATATAGGAAAAAAAATGATCTGATTATAATCAAATAATGTAAATACAACATTTATTAAAAAGGAATTTACTGTAAAACTGCAATATGTAACTTTCATAAAATATGTTTTTCCATATTTGTTAAAACTGTCATTTTGTTAAGAAAGTATATGAGATAACATTTGAAAAGCTCTAGCTCCTGCACCTCCCCCCTGAGCTACTATTGCCACCTGACTTAATGCACCTCTCCCAATCAAGAACAACAATCAGATCCAGGAGGCGTGTCTTAGCGCTGTCACAGATTATTTGTCTCATATCATACTGTCATAATATGCAGTTTCAACAAATATGAAAAATACAGATATATCTATATAAAAGTTATATACTACAACTTTAGCATACTATGCTTATTTTCAAGACTAAATCTCCAAAAACATTTGAAAAATTCAGTGTAGTACAAAATATTTTTTTTGTATAATTTTAGACAATAACCTGCTAAAATCAATGATATACAAATAAATCATTAACTGTTTGTCTATTAGTAATTATAGAGGTCACTCATATGTTAGTAACCTCACTTTAGACATGGGTGTGGTGATGTTATGCTTAGAGCTGGTTTGTGTTGATGACATTTGATGTGAACACCTTGCCTGATTTTGAGACTTGATAATTCACACTAATGCTCAAGAACATCAAAACTTGACAAAATGATCAGAAACATATTTAGGGCATTTATGCAGTAAGTATGCAAGTAACTATGTGAACAATGGGAGTTAGGTGACTTGAAATTCCTACAGATCCAAACCTGCAAGTACATGCTTAGAAATCACGACAGAAAAAAAAATTGTTTTTTTTTTATATGATTTAACTGTGTTTAATGCTAATTAAGAAATCTTCTGCAGAGACCCATATGCTTAGCTTAGTTTTAGAATTTTCGTGAACACACATTATACATGAAAATACTTTACAGTCTACTAAAATCTGAGGATACAAGAAATGCATTTAATATACAGCTCAAAATATATTTATCTGTGATGATTGTAACGTCTTCAAAGTTTTCTTAATCTGCAGTTGTTCAGAGAAACAGGAAAGAAACTAATAAATGGATGGTTGCTTAGAAAAAAAAAGCAATCTTTCTCAGTTTTCCTGACTTTGACCTGTCAGGTGATTTGACCTGAAGAATTGCAGAAATGAATAAATATCTTTACATCTTCACACAATTTTGCATTTTGCTACCTTAGCGACTTTGCCCCCGAACTTCTTCAAATTAAACGAAATTGGTGTCAAACATTTGTGCAACGTTGGTGCAGCAAAATATCTTGTTTGTGCCACTATCATTTTAAAGATATAACTAAATGTTTCCAGAGGTCATTGCAGGTCAACCAGCCTCCTCCATATTTACAAAATCAAGTAAATTTGGTGTCAGTTAACTGTACTAAAATATTTTAGCTGCACTAACCAACACGAACATAGCTCAGTTGATTGACACCATTCTTTTTTTTATTTTGTGAATGTGAACTGGCTGGTTGACCTATGATGACCTCTGGAATTATTTTTTCTGTATTTAAATAAAAATAGAACAGAATAGAGGAGAATATACTTTATTGATCCCCAAGGGAAATCGCTTATTAGTTGACAAGCTACCCCATCCAAGATGTTAATATATACTATACCGTGTGTGTGTAATAAATATAGTAATATGGAGTAAAATGTATAACTGCATAGTGACCATCCAAGTACCGTAGATAAATATTAAGCTGCTGACCAATCTTGGATGAAGAGGATCTTAATCATCAAGGTCTTATACATTTTTACGTTTTTTGTTGTTGTTGGGTTGGGCACAGTTTACATCAATCTCATGAAGAAAACACAAGTCGACAATGTTAATAAATACCATGGAGCATAATATATATGCATAATGACGCCCCCTTCACATTTCTGCCTGCCTCCTCATGCATCCATGCCTAGAACTGGCACTGGTAGCACAAACAAGAAAAATGTGCTGCACAAACCAGCTCAAGCATTGTGCACTAATATTATTTACTTTGAGGTCAGAGGGGGGGCCAACTTCACGCCAACTTGACTCAGATCCTGCAGCGTCCTCTGCCTGTGTGACATGTCAACCATCACATGTAGCTATAGTGTCTATACTGGCTTCTTTTCTTACTAGAAAAACAATTCCTGTTGTCTTGGTTCCTCTTCACAATGAATTCTTATTATGCATGCTATGTTGGAGATGTGTCTCCCTTTTCTTAATGCATCTGGAAGAGGGATTATAAATCTGTGAAAGCTACAAAGATTTATTTCCACAAATATTCTATTTATCTTTAAAGTATTTAAACTCAATAGAACAATGTCTCATTTTGAACACATTTGAACCAGTAACAGCTGTCATTAACACTGGTGAACATATCCAAAAGTAGTTCAACAATTTTGTTAAAAGTTGTATCTTGTTCAAGTCAGATCAGATGATGAAAATGTGACACATGTGGCATTAACATGTCCATCTAAATTAAGGCATTTTATTTATCCGCGGCTTCAGAAAATATTTTATTCTTCCACTGCACCTTCTTTATCTGCATCTTAGCATAGTTTGGACAAACTTTGACCTAAGTAAATCAGGTAAGGAGGAGACGGCAGAGGCTGCACAGACTTCAAACTGAAATGCACAGGTGGAACTAGTGATGGGAACAAACAGGATCACCTATTTCTGACATTATTTTACATGTCAGAAAATAAAGTTAGCTGGAATCTCCTGACCAAAATATCCATGTGCAAAGGACCCCTCCTGCTGTCCAAGTCAGAGCTCCTGTTTATCATGTTTACTCCATCCTGTCAGTGTCATCACCGTTGATTTGCACCACACAATCTTTGTTCAAAGGTTCCTTGGAGTGGGCGGTGTCAAAGTGCTCTTTGTTCACTAAGTACCTGCCCCGAGCATCCAGCCCCAAGGCAGGTAGAAATCGCCGGTCAAATTGAATTTCTTGGCGTAAGTAAGAGGTTCTCTTCTGGCAGGAGTCACCAGTTCCCTCTTGCAATGCTGTTAGGAAAATGACCAGCTCAAAGTGTTTGGATGTGCCTTCACAAAGAGCAGGATAGAGAGGGCTCTGGCGGTCCAGTTGGTGGTAAAAAGTAAGGGGGAAAATAAAGAAGGGGCATGGCTGTTGGCCTAAATGGTCCAAGTGGAAGTCTAGCGAGGTCTGGTACAGAGCCTGGCCTTCCTGTTCCTCATAGAGCACTGCACTCACCTTCACGTCCACCAGAGGTCGCTGAATAAGATTAGTGACTCGTATCATGAGGCACGTCTGGCCCTGGTGTTGGCCCACTACTGCCTGCGGACTGAACTCGATGGCTCCTGCTCTCTTCTGAGGACGAGCAATCTTGGCTACAAATGCACCTGAAAATGATACGTCAGGATAGTGTCATAATATTACATGAAATCAACTCCAAAGCAATGCAATGTTTTGCAACGTCTACTAAATTATTTGTCTTTGAATTTAATAAAATGTGACTGTGCAGTTGGGAGATCTGGCACTTGGCCATACAATATTGTCTCTTGGAAGATTAAAGAACTGTTGCTTAAATCTGATTAGGAAGCCAAACATGTTGGAATGCAGCCCATCCATCATGAGGCTTACAGCTACAAGATCTATTACATTTTTCCACATTTTTTGTTGCCACCTTGATTACATATGTTCAAATGTTAATCTGTAGCAGTCCATGTCTTTTAAGAGGGCAAATTAATTGATTACCCTTGTTTGTTTGTTTTTTTTTGGTTGCTCAAAAAGTGATGAGGAAATATGCATCCAAACAGAAACTCCTCTATATCTGCATTCCTTTGTCAGAATAACTAGAAGAGCCGAAGCCAAAACAAAACCAATAATTAAACTTTTTTTTATTTTATTGGAGTAACATAGTAACAAGTCTAGTTTCAGAGTCGTTTGAGCTTGCAGTTGGCCAACTATTTTATGTTGTGAACACGAGAACATCTCAAACATCCCAATTGCACGGTCTGAAGACAGTCCTCCATCGTCCCACGGTTTTCAGTGCAGTCAAATAGACCTGAAGGTGTTTGTCACATCAGTACAGGTGAACAGGTGGTTTATACCTAAAGGACATGAACTATATTGGCATTACAATTTGCAATGGCAAGTTATTGAGAGAAAAAAGGAATATATCAAATAACATCCTAAAACACATCACAATAATATGCTAAACCTATTTTTGTTAACTCCTCCATAGGCTTACACTGTAGGATTGGATGAGCAGCTAACCATGTGATGTGGGCAGATTATGATTTATGGTTTATGAATTGTGCTAGACTTTGCAATTCTACTTAATTCTCATCTCCCTTTGGGATTTCTCTTTCTTTTTTCTCCCAGTGACCTTTTTTCTCAGAATAAATTTAACTCTGCACTGTTTTAGAATTGTAGTCTGTTTATAGTTGTAGTTTTGCAATGGCAGTGGAGAAAGTGAACGAAGCCATTCAGTCCATGTTGGCCGTGCTTCCAAATATTGAACAATTAATTCCGGAGCAATATTAAGATAAAGATTAACACAATTAAATCTTTGCCAGCGAATCTTTGGTGGCTGGTAAAGATGTCATTGGGCTCAGCAATTTTCTCTTTGCTGTGGGGGATTGTTGTTTATTTAAGCTAGGGATATAGAAATATAATAATAGAATTCCACATGTATGCCTATCTGAGAATATATGGTGACTCTCTGATAAATAAGGGATTTTAAAAGAATTTATTGTGTCTAGATAGTGTTAAATGGAGATTAGCGACACAGGGTCCACTTCACCCGTCTTAGGACTACAGGAGGGTTAAAGAGCAGCAGGAAAAGTATACAGTAAAATCCCAAGTGTCACATCGGCATGTCAGAACATGTGAACTCTATGAGAGTCAATTCAACAACAGTGAGAGTAAAATGCCTCCTTATGTTGACGCTGAAGACCTCCGCCTTCTTTCACCTCCTGCCACACTGATCAGAATTTTCTCAGCACCATTTTCAACATCTTGGCCTTGCCTGAGAAATCACAGTAAGTTTCCTCAATTTACATTTTTTTTCTAATTTTCTAGTTAAAGCAGCATATTAAAGAAACATGGTTTTTCAGACAGAAATTATTTTTTTGTCAAAAATATGTATTACACATGACAGATGTGAAATGCCAAGGGGTGTCGAAGTCAATTCAACACCTCTGTGGCACTGAGTGTTAGCATTCTTATAGTTGAAAGTTTTTTATCTTTATTCTCATATCCTGTGTTGTTTCTGTTCTGGGACGGTGATCTTACTTCAGCTATTCTGCTCAGCCTGATTGCTCCTTCCTGCCGAGTCTGAAAAAGTCCTGGCAAGGTTTCTGCATCTCAGCCTGAAAGGTTTATGCTGCTTTTTTTTTTTTTTTTTTTTTTTTTTTTTTTTTTAAAAAACTTTCTTTTTTTTTTTTTTCCCTTTTTTTTTTTTTTTTTTTTTTTTTTATAAATGTT